TATACCCTTCTGATACTGACATAATATTATATTGTACAATATTATGATATATCTTCATTACTTCTCATCTAGTATTGAATCCTCACATTAAAATTGTTGATTTTAAAATTCTGTTCAATACCATACCCTTCACATACTTTTTGAATTTCCATACACCAGTATTATGCTTTTATTATAAAAGTATGAAATGTAGCTTTCAAACAGTATGATAAAATATTGTAGCATACTATTTGGATACTCTGCCTGCAATATTTGAATAGTATATAGATATTTCACTCTCATATTTTTTCCATACCAACAAAATACCTGTCAGGCAGTATTGTTTGTTTCTTCTTGATACTAGCACAATACTGGCATCTCAGTATGTTGGTCATTTTTAATGAGTATCTGCTTGATATTATGTTAGTATTCAATATAAAAATGTGGTATATTTTCATACTTTTAAGATATTCCCTTTATATCTACCCTCTAGTATCATATAAGTATCTTTTGAATATTATATATAATATTTTCAAAGTATCTTATCCTGAAGATCATACTCTTAAAATATTGGCCAATCAGTATATTGAAGATATTTTGTTCAAAGTTAAGATACTGTGATAGAAGTATTATTCTAGTATGTGACCCAGTATTGAGGAAAAACATTTGAATACAATCAAAATACTAATCAGATACTTCAGCATGGGTAATAAAATATATATCTTCATACCAATCACATACCTGGTGGATGGTATTTTGGGAAAAATTTATGTACCATCAAAATACTCTCAAAATATTCTCACATCAGTATGTTGGAATGTTTGCAGTGTTTCTGTGAATTTAAAGCAGTAATAATAGAGACATTTCTAAAACATTTGTCAGCCAGCTTTGGTTGGTCAGGCCGTCTTCCTGCAACACGACTTCTCAGAAATGTAATGTCATCAGCAGTACATGCTGCATATCTCATATTTTCCAAAGCAGTCCTCAACTTGGCATCTTCCACTGATTGTGTATTTTGTCTCATATTTTTTCTTAGAATAACAACAGTAGTAATTTGGTGCCAAAGTGCTCTGCCTATAGCAGATTGCTGTCCTCTCTCTGACATGGAGGCATCTACTGATGTACCAACATATCCATCATAAACAGCCTGTCCTTGAACTGGTTTAAGCTGTGCAAAGTCACCTGCAAAGATCATATTGAGTCTGCCAAAAGGTGCATCCATACTATTCCTTGCCTTAGCCAGTTGGGCACTTATCTTATACAATTCATAGCATGATATCATAGACACTTCATCAATAAATATATAGTCTACACCATCTAGTTGTGACCTAACCTGTGCCATAGTTGAATGCTCATTGCTATTTTGTCTTGATTTACTTTGCACACCTAGTGCTGTATGATATGTTGAACCATTTAATAGAGCAGCAGCAGATCC